CAGACAGACAGACAGACAGACGAAGCGCTTTATAGTAAGTAGGATATTATTGTTTGTTGATAAAAACGCGCATTCAGGATGCGAAAAGTCAAACAAAGGAAGTTAAGGAAAAGAAAAAGGGGGGTCTCTCAATGTCGTGCTGTAAGAAAAAGCGGGAGACGAAAAGAAGTTCAGGAGGAGGAAGAGGAAAGAGGAAAAAAAAGTCAAAGAAAAGCAAATCAAAATCAAGGTCGAGGAAGTCGAAGAAGAGCAAGAAAGCCAAGAGGAGCAAGAGAAGCAAAAGCAGAAGCAGAAGCAGGAAAAGCAGGAAGAGCAAGAAGAGCAAAAAAAGTAAGAAGAGCAAGAAAAGTAGGAAAGGCAAGAAAAGCAAGAAAAGCAAGAAAAGTAAGAAGAGTAAGCGAAGCAAAAAAAGCAAACGAAGCAAGCGAAGCAAGAGTAAAAAGGGCAAGAAGGGCAAGGGAGGTATTTGCAAAAGTAAGAAAAGTAAAAAAAGTAGAAAAGGCAAAAGGAAAAGCAAGAGAAGCAAGAAGGAGTCCAGGGATCTCATCGCCAACCGTGAACATCTCGGACTGTCACAGAGTCTTACTAAACCGCCGTCTCCCAAGGAATCAGGGACAATGGACTTTTCTAATAAATCTCTAACACCTTACTCACCGATGAAAGAGGCAAGTTTAACATTTTCAACAATAAAATGTAATACTAAGTATATATATGTATAATATATAATATATATGTATAATATATAATATATATGTGTAGTATAATAGTATATATATATATGTATAGTAATGCCTTTTGTATGCGGTCATAATGAACATCGTAAAATTTTGCGGACCATCTTTATATATCATTTTTTGTCGAAAGGGGTTCAAATGTTCATAAGAGCAAGTGGGTAAAATGTTGAGCAACGTAGTCGTTTTCAGATTTGATTGCGAAAGATAATTTACGCGATTTTTTGTTGAGAAAATGGTGTTGTCAGCGGAAAACATGAAAACAACAAAAGCACATTTAGCAATATCAAAGAATTAAGAGATAAAGAATAGTTTCTCGGCGCTAAACAATCCCATCCGAAGAGTGTGTCCGGCAATCGACTTCCATTCAGAAGGGTAGTGGCGTATTGATGAATATATGGTTTATCACAATTTCTTGTAGTGGTAAGCCAGTGTACAAGTCAGTGCTCATACAAATTTACGGATCCCGGAGGGATGGAAATCTTGGTTGACCTAGGCGGATTTGTGATAGTACGCCATCTGCCACTACTTTACCTTCGCCATTGAAGAAGTACTTCTACCGAACAGCTTTACTCTTCCTTTGTTCTATGCAGTCAATTGATTGGAACACTTTGTGTAGTGGAAGCAGAACACATTGTTTGCGTAACACGTCAAAGTTTCCGGTGGCATTCGTAAGCAGAGTGGATCTGGCACAGTGATCATGGCTTCTCGGAGGTTTTCAATTTAGTTCTGTAAGATCTGGATCGTCGTCTGACATCACGAGCATCAGGACTCATAGACAATAATATGGGAAACGTCGTATCGGCAATATCGCGTTGAAACACGTTTATCATTTCCACAAGTGATTGAAAGGGCACTTTCGCAACAGAGGTGTATTCAAGCGCGTTCTTCTTTGGGTGTTTCAGAGTTCATGATTGCGTACAGTGCCGCGTGAGCGGTATCCATCGGTCCAGTTTTGTCGTCTCGTGGCCGGCAGCGCCATCGGTTGGCCGGTCGGTCGTTGAAAAAATGCACATCGTTTAACTCTGAAAGCACCCTATCTGACAGTCAGAAGAAACCTTCACTTAAGATGCACTTAGCTCTGTACAAATCAGACTCTTTAAACTGCATAGCAAGGGTATTACTGATTAACCTCCAATTACTTCACAGTAGCGATCCAATCTTCACCAAGAAACGATGAAAAGGTCCGCATATTGCGACAGCTCCCATGAACATTTGCGTCTACTACACAGAGCTCATGACCACAGTCAGAAACCAGTAAGGTCAGTGCTAATGAATCGTGCAGGACCAAAGTTATCGTCTGGTGATATAGGTAATGCTCAATACAGAACTCGGAAGTGCGTTTAACTTCATGTCTGTGCTAGATGCTCTATGCGTCCCATCGTACTCTTGAAAATCATTCACAAATGCAAGCAAATGCTGGACTGTTTACCCATATGACCTTCTACCCATAAATGGAGTTCATCCTATTGAGTGGTTACCTGAGAGACATGGCTGGAACCTTCAAGGGTGTAGGTGCTCAACTGATTGTGATACTTAATCAGCTCTCGTCCTGTTAGGCGATGTTAGTGTGTCGATGTCGATGCAAGAATCACTGGTATAAATACTACCCTCACCTTAATGCATACCTTCTTGTAGCTGATATTCATGAGAGGAAGGTTTCAAGGGTTTCAGTGGTCCTTACCGCAGTGTGTGACGATATTATTATACAGCTTCAAAGTACTGATCATGAAAAACATGCAGGCTTATAAAGAATCTCAACATGTTTACTATGAGTATACCTCATGCTCAAGATCTCAATAACTGCTGACAGCCATGCGCTCTTTACTACTAACAGTAAGAGAAGGTTAATTTCGGCGCTATACATAGTATCTGAGTACCGGATGACAGAAAGTAATAAGGGTACAAAAAGAGGTGGTCCACGACGACTCTCCACAGTCGCTTGCCCTTAATATTAAACAGTATCATTAAAGACACGTTTCTGCGGTTGCGGCTGAAAGATAAGCCATGGATACACAACCTTTTCGCATCCTCTAGTCACCTACCACAAATGGCACGATCGCTTCCTTTGAGAAGAGATTTGCTTCGACGAAGTTTGTCGAAGCGAACGTCCACTGTCCTCAAATACCGACACTGCTCTGGCTTCCTCAAAGAAATCGTATTCAAAGAGGCAGGATTTGGTGAAGACGATTTCTACTCCCCAATCAATCATCCACGACGTTCTATGCAGGAGTCACTTTCGAAGCAGGGCTCTTTCAAATATCGCACGTCTCGCGTGTCTGAATGAGCCATAGTGTCGAGTGCGAGCCACTGTTTGTCACAAGCTCCTCGACTGTAAGCGGACGACATAAGCAGACTTTATTACAGCTGAGGATAAAAGTAGATAAAGGATAAAGGATAAAGTTTTGCGGCCTTGATCAATCCCGCCGGAGGGATGCGCCGACGTATTCGACTTCCATTCAGAATCGTAGTGGCGTAATGAGTGCGTATGTGGCCTATACAATGACTTTTGATGTCCAGCGAGTCGATGCTTTCATCATCTCCCACGACTCTGGTTCCAATGCTTCGGCGGACATCCATCGGGATTTAAACCCATGACTATGCGTGTGTGAAGTGCGTCCCTTGTCACTACACCACTTTCGCCCAAAAAGTAGATGTCTTATGAAAGTCCACACAGGAAATCGCAATGCCTAACAGCGGACGTAAGGCCATAGCCACAGCCAATGAGCTCATTCTTCTTCTGCTCAACCGAGTGTTTTACTATGAGATCCTACCAGAATGTACTGCAGTGCACGCAAGAATATTCTAGTACCGACTAGGGAGATGGTGTTTCGAGCCCCCTCTTCACATCGATTACAAGGAAATTCTCGTTTGCGATTCATAACGCTCGACCTCCTGAGGACGTTGATGGATGAGCTGGAGGGCTTGGTATAACCTGACCACTCCATCTGTTCACCTGACCTCAACCCATATGACCGCTATGCTTCAAGAAGCCCATAAGCCTGCTCCACAGGAGAATAATTCAACAACTGTCGAAAAGTGAAGTAGGTGGTAGAAGAAGCGATGGGTTGGTTCGTTGGTCGTGGGTTGCGTCGTGCATTGCTATATATTAGAAGTATGGTATCAATGCTTAGATGATGGAGAGACACTGTGGTTAAGAAGAGCCACTATCTTGATCACTGATCTAATTTTAATGCTGTACTTATTCTGTATCAAAAAAACCAACTGAATTTTCTTCAAACTTTCGGAACACCCTAACAATTGTGGGGCGCCCGTGAAGGCCAATAGGAGAAGGAAATGATGTGCAAAGTTTAAAGCAACCCGTGAATTAGTGATAGAAAATGCCAAGTTCCAACATTCGCAAATGCTGCGACATTCCATTAGCAAAACCTAACAAGGACTAATCGTAAGATATTACTAATCATGTTTGATTTCGAATAATTCAGAACAAACGAACGAAAAGGAGCGAAGATGTGAGTTAATCGGTTTAAACAAAAAACACTGAGTAGTCTTTCAAGCACTTTTTTTACACATAGTTATACCAAGTTCAGAGCAAGGTAGCAAACACAGGAGGAGGCACGCAATGAAGTACATATACATATTTACATAGTGATAGTGATGTCCACCGTTTCCCGTCTTATTTTATCTTGATGCGTCTCAGAAACGTCTGTGTAAGGAGAACTTAGTTCTTCCCGTTAGGTACTTAGTTCGGAAGTGAAATTTCTTTCAAAAGGCTTCACTCACATGGGTGTGCATGAAAGACTTGGAGATTGCACAATATTGCTGCCGTATATCAGATCGATGCTCATCTCCACCTTCTTTTTCCGAATTGCATTGTTGGAGAGAAGTGTACGCAGAACCGCTGGGATGTAGCTTCGAGGGCCAATAAGTTTCGGTGGGCTCTAGCAGCGAAGTGGAGCCAGTAGAAAATTCTCTTGTCAAATATTGGGAGGCAGTACGTACATTGTGGGGCTGCATAAACAAGGAAGAGGGGGCCGAATGTGTTGTGCATATGTGAATGTGTGATGTCCTTACACAGTAATCTTATAGGACTCCAAGTGAGAAAATTCGAATAACTGCAACGTTGGTGAAGAAAACATTCCAAATGACATAATACATCAACCGCAAATAAGGGTTCTTCATGAAGGGCTTCACAACCTACTCTCACCATTTAGTAGGTCCACTCTGCAGTGATCACCTGTATCACCTGTCATCCCGTTGATCATCGACTTCTTCGCGCGGGCGCCAGTAACGTTTCCATTGTCCCTGTCACGAGCCAGAGTGGACCAGTGAATCGTCCTCGCTTCGGGGATACGAGGTCCAACATTCCTTTCGTTCAGAGCTTTCGTGAAGAAGTCTGACCATCTCAGACCGGGCCAGGGTTCTGACAATGACCGGCGAAAGGCTCTTTAGATGTTCTGCTTTGATACTATCGGAAGCAGGTGCCGTACCATTCCTCGTCGACGTGATGGCATGTCGACTTCCGGAAGGGAGAACTGAAGGGACGACGTATCCGTCTTGCCTAAGATGGTTGGTGGGCAGGTGGACGTGGCTGGCGCAGATCAGAGCAGAAAACAGATCAGAGCAGAAAACGTAGGTGACCTTCTCCATTGTCCTTTGGGATGCAGTAACAGTTCCGTCAGGTCGACGAAGGGAAGTCATCTTGGTCCTATAATTGACGAAGCTCCGACGAGCTTCGCGAATGCTCTTACCAGATTCGGCGGCTTCAGACGAATTTCCTGCTCTTTTCTCTTCCAGATCTTCCTTTGTCGCTTCTCTGCATAGCTTCGCAAGTTCGGACGTTTGTTGATGATTGCCTACAGATCGTGCGATTCCCCGCTGGCGCATCAGCTCGAGAGTCTTTAAAGATAGTCGTTTCTTGGCTACTTGTAGACTTTCTGCACTCCTAGCACTATGGTGTATATGTTCGACGAGCCGGTTGTACTTTTCATCGACACTGTCATAACGGCATCTTCCAGCAAACTCGCAAGGAAAGCGAAGTGGTTCCAGTTGATAAAAGACTTGGGGCTTCGTTTCCTAAACTTCATAGCTCTCTCTACACGCGCTAAGAAGCAGAATCTAGCGCGGAGACGACAATGGTCCGATTCCGTGTTTCGGCACCGCAGCAACCTCAATCAGGCAAACTCTCCGATTGAACATGATGTGGTCTATCTCATTATGGAACTGTCCACCAGTGCCTCCCATGTCCATCTCAATTGAGAGGGCTTCTGGAACTGCGAGTTACCATGGATGGTGTGGGCCGCCATGATAAACTCGGACAGCCTTTCACCCATTCCTAATTCATTCCATTCCGTGAGCCCCGATGTGGAGCTCTTCAGCCGTTTTTCTGGGACCAATCTTGGCGTTGAAATCACCGACGATGACTTGATGAAGGTATGGTCTTCCCCGTAGAGCCTCTCCAGATCCATATAAAACGCTTCCAACTCTTCTTCTTCGTAGCTCGATGTTGGTGCGTAAGCAACGAAGATAGTTAGAGCTGGGATTGAGCCCCATCTTCTTAATCGCAAACGTCCGATTCGGGTTGTTAAGTTTTCGTACGAATCGATGTTCATGGCCAAGTGCGTATTGACGAGGACACCTACGCCGCCGACGCCTCTGGTGTCGCATATTTCTAGAAACAGTTCTTCTGCAGTCTCAGGCACAGCGAGCAATACCTCCTCGTCTCGTCAGTTCGATGACGTCGTACTTGATCTTTCTTGCTTGCATTATCAGGTCTTCTATACATGCTTCCGATGCGAGCGTTCACATCGCCCTCTTACTCTACATAGTCCTTCGCCGTTTACGCAGCCTGTTTTGGCCCTGAGATTTTAGCAGCCTCTGCCGAGCGGTATTGACCCCTCAACGCTACCTTGGGCCTCTTCAGCTTCAGGGAAATGGGGCCCATTTTCATCACTGTTTTAGGCTAGTGAATCCCAATGTGTAGCTTGCCAGGCTCTGACGTGAGGCTGGGTTGACTCCGAGGGCTTGCCACCTATCCCGAAGTGAACGAGAATCTTCGTTTTTGGAGGCGGCCACAAATCCCTTCCTGATACTTTGCATTCACTCGAATGCAAGCTTTTGTTAAGTCGATGGGCAGGATACCAACTGCACCCACAGATCTCCACACACGTATGCAAGGATACGCCGTCGAGAAACAAAATGCATGTCGACCAGCACAGCAGAGACAAGGAGTCCATTCCCTAAATCCACCTGCATCTTGGGTAAATACTGATGACTTTTGGTCAGCGATTAACTGCCCTATCCGCCACCTGGGGATGCCCTACGTAGCCTCGTAGCTAACCGGCTGGGATCAGTCAGTGAGAAGGAAACCGTAGTGTAAGGAGATCCGAGAAACTCTGCCGTGATATTGATGCCAAAAGTGAAGGTTTTTCTCCCCATCTGCCATCTGATGTCGGCCGACCTGCTTTTCGAAAGATCAAATCAAACTTTTCTCCCGAAGCATAACCTCCAATTATGGTACCGGCTCACATAACTGCGGCCAGGCTACCTGCTCCCCATCTTTAACCTCACAGTAGCTTCCCTGTCATTTGCGAGTAATAGAAATGAGAGTATAAGCTCGGCCGGCTTTTGCTGTATCCATTCACTGTTCTGATCACCATTCTGTCCCATTCCTTACCCCAAACTGTCCCTAGAATCTTCACGACAGTATATCGAACGAGTTTTCCGATGCTTTACAAGGGAGCTTACTGCGCTCACCTACTCCGGTATTTTCCGTCGTATTTCGTCATTAGCATTCGGCACACATTCCTAGGGGAACTTTCTCGGCCTCTTCAGGCGCTCTCTCGTTACTTGGTCCTCTAGGAGTGTGCGATTCGTACATACATGTAGAAACGGTATGGAAGTGAGGCGCATGTCGCTAACTCTTGGCGTTCCTCAACTTTACATAACTCAAACACATGGGGGCACTGCTCGTGAGCTCCCTACAGCCAACGGCGAGGTCGGATGCCAGCAAATGGTACGCTCATGTGGGAGGCGGGTGCCAGAACTTCTCCTCGTATCCACGCGGCCAGCGTAAGTGGTTTCGCGAGAACTGCCGTATCCTTCTACTGGGACTTCAAAACTTCTCCTTTATAGCAAGTGCGGAGAGCGCGACACGCTATTTGAGGAGAAGATACCAGACCCCACCCGAAAGTGAAGAGTCTAGAGAAAAAGATGGCTCTGACTGAAAAAATCCTTATTATTTGTTAGGATTTTTATTTTCGTGCGTAGATGAAATGTGAATGGAGCATACTAAATAGCTCGTCAGTGCGCCCATTAAGAACTTAAATTGCAATATCGTTGAACTTGTCTATCCTGCACGGAAGTGTGACTCTCACGCTACTCAGAATAATGTTTAGATTCTTCTGTGTAAAATAAAACCTAAGTTTCTATAAAAGCCTAACATTCTTACTTTTGTCATTCTTCTTACAAGGGAAGGATCCCAAGTCGATGTGGCCATTTGAAATGAGACCTACACTGCTAGACGTATTTTTTGATGCTGATTTCGAACCTGCATTCAAAATCTGCCAAACGATTCTCTGGACAAAGTTATGGAGGTGGTCTCCGGAGAGCGCTCAACAGGAGGAAGCACAAGAGACATGGTCGCCGGTAGTTCAGCAGTGGCGGCTTGGAGTCGAGGTATGCGTGACGCTTCATAGGCAAGGGAGCAAGGATTGGGGTTGGTTTGCGACGCCGTTTTTGCATTTTGCAGAACTTTTTCCTCCAGCTTGTAAAAATCTTTTTCTGTAACTTTCAGCGCCTCCTGCGACCTTTTGAATGCTCGGGTGGATCAGTTCCTGTTTAAACCGTCTGACATCTACTCGAACCATCAACATGACGAAATTCTGTTCTTATACATTTCGAATTCGCTGTAGGATTACTTTCACCTATTATAAACAGATGTAATAATCTAGCAAGAAATATTTAATGTAGAGTTTTCCACACTGAGCGCAACGAACGAAAACCTGGATGTGTGCTCAAAGCCGGCGGCGTGCCATGAGTGAAAGAGAAACCTTTCAGGAACACAGAATTGGTTGGAAATACACAAGTGACAGTAATCGGAGAAAGTTGGTATGTTCATCACATTCAACTCGGTTTGTGAAGGTAGTGCCGACTAGATAGCTTCATGATCTTCAAAGGATGTCCAAGAGTCCACCAGCAGCAACATTGATGTTGGTGAGTCCGGAGCAGTCACACATGATTGCCCACTCCAACATAAATTGGTTGCTCATCATGTGCGTTCTACTTGCCCGAACCTCCACATGCGGAGCATGGAACTCTCCCCTTCTTGAAAACTCGCCAGGGGGTTTCTATTAAAGTCCGGCTGGCTCATTCCGCAGTGGAAGGCCATTTAGATGTCAGACGATTTAAGCAGGAACTGATTCACTCCAAGCATTCAAAAGGTCGCCGAAGGCGCTGAAACTAACATAAAAAGCTTTTTACAAGCTGGAGGAAAAAGTCCTACAAAATGCAAAAACGGCTTCGCTCTCCAAACTCGATCCTTGGTCCCTTGCCTATGAAGCGTCACGCATACCTCGACTACAAGCCGCCACTGCTGGACTACCGGCGACCATGTCTTTTGTGCTTTCTCCTGTTGTGCGCTCTCCGGAGACCATCTCCATAACTTTGTTCAGAGAATCGTTTGGCAGATTTCGAATGCAGGTTCGAAATCAGCATCAAAAAATACGTCTAGCAGTGTAGGTCTCATTTCAAATGGCCACTTCGACTTGGGATCCTCATCTTGTTAGTTAATGACCTTTTCAACTGATTGATAGCAACATTCAGGCAGGATTCTGGCCATGGAGTATTGATACCTCAACCTCCTGCCTTCATGCAAAGCCCTACCTCCTGACGTGACCTTAATTGTACAAATATTCTCGCATAAAGTCATCCAGAGTGCTGACACTGACTTCAGCGTCGCACCATGAATATTCTAACTTCCGCTATGGGACATGACTAGCTGCTTGGGTTTTTCTAACTTGTGGGCTTCATTGTGAATGATATGGCCCCAACAAGGTCTTTGTAACATGGCCACTTTCGAATGTGTATGTCGGGCAAGCCAGTTCTAGAGCCCTTTCCAGGTCGATTTTGACACGACGTTTTCCGGCAATTGCAATCCTTGATGAACATAAGTCCATTCTACGCCAAAACGGCAAAAACCATTTTTACGGTGAACTGTGCCTTTGGGCGAAAAGCTGCATGCCAGCATTAGCATTCGTTATATTCACGGCACTTCTAATGTTAACTTCATCATCTATAAGGCGAGCCCGAATAGCGTCAACACATTGCAAGCATAGTGCGGTCAGAAGATCATCACCAATTTTTGTTGAGCTTGTACTGCAAGGGGAAGAAAGATTTTGTTTGTGTTCCTCTAGAAGCTCATCACTACAATTGCTTTCTCCTTGTAGTTTTCCCTCCATTTAACCATTGAAGAGGTTTTCAACATACCGCCACTCAAAAGATACTTACACCGGCTGAATGAGAATTTCACAGTCTAATTTGATAGAACCAAAACAACACTATTCAAAGGCAACTTTTTGGATTTCAGGGTACAATCTTAAGAACGGGACGACACATGGATAGCAATGTATGCTGATCTCTCTTATCTTCCTATTTGGATTTAATGACAGTTTCTTATTGCCCAGAACTTCACCTAACGCGCGGTTTTCTCGTGCAGATGTCCTTGCTCAAGAATAGTTCCATTTACAGGGAGGACTCACTTTCTTTTTGATTCTCAAGTATGATCATTTGTGGGCTAATCATGAAGCACTGCACAATCAACTGTCCTGAACTTTCATGTTTTCTTCTTTTCCTACTTGATCCTCTAGAAAGCTCAAAAATTGCTTGTTCCAAACAATGGATCTAAGAATTGGAAACGATTCTGAGATATTTATCNCAGATTTTTATTTTCATTCGTTCACATTCTTCGCATGCCCTCTTATATCGGGATTCTGCTAGCTCGTGGAATTATGGCGGTAGGACTTTCTCGCCATGGTATATAAAGTTGAGGAGATCGAGGATGGCGAAGTGATACCTACACGCATCTAGGTGCTACTGAACAACTCTGCTCCTCACCGCGCGCAGCAGAAGCGAAAAGTTGGTTGTTGGCTTAGCGAAAACGCCCTACTAACCCTCCTTGATATCCATGAAATTTCACATATAACCCCACTAACTGAGGATATGAGACCATCAGCGCGTCTCCTCATTTCCATGACACCAAGACCGATTGCAAGATGTTCAGTGTTCAACGATATACCTCCCTGCGGCTTTCACAAATCATTTCGACAAGAAATGCATACTACTCGTAGAGACCGACTTGGAAAATTGACCGAAAATGGGGTCACACACACACATGAGGTCGCGCATCCATCAAGCTTCTATCCCGTTATGTCGTTATAAAAGTGACTGCTCAAGATTCATTCTATACAGCACATTAATGAGTCAGATCCGAATTGTAATAGTCATTAGAGGCGGTAGTTCCATAACCACTAAAGTATTCATTCTCAAGTTAATCTATCTGAGGGGCGAGTTGCTGCGGCCATTTTGTATTTGATCATGCCGTTAACTCAAAAGAAAGTTTTCAGCCAGAATTCCAGCCCTTCCGTTCCGCTGAAGATGCAGGTTACAAGAAAAAGGAGGGTGACACTCCCTCAACAGCTATTGATATAGGCAAGCATTCCATGGCTCTAACTGTCGTACATACTCCTTTCCAGCTGTGAAGTTTTACGTGGGATGATCCAGCAACAAGAATAATATCGAAAAAATACTTTTCAGATAGTTCGATGAGAGCAAGACGACCGCGACGATCACTAAGCGGTACGCGACCGTTTCGTAGTCGTTTGATGTGATTTAGAATTAGCATTTTTTGATGATTTTGAGCCTTACTTCAGAATCTGAGAGAAAGGCTAAAAAAGAAGCATACACAGGAGAGTTAGTAAAGGATGCTGACCAGCGATATCGTGAAAGAAAGGGTCGAGTAGAAGACACAACTCCTGAGGTAGTTTCAGTTGTCACTTTAGCAGGCATTCATCATTCACTCATCATTGATCCTCTTTGAAGTTGGAGAGACACTTCGCCTTCGGCATCTTCGTCTACCACGTTTGATATGTGCAGTCTAGTGATATTACTGAACAATAGTACACAGAAGGGTGAATTTGGCCCTACTGTGTGCAGATGAGTTAAGGCGTACAGTGAATTGATTTTAGCGCTGCAGCTAAGATAGTGCCGCTGACCTCGCCCCCTCCCCAGATTTGATATTTGATATATATGCATGTATTAGGATGACCAAAAAGTTTTGATAGTGCTTTGAAAGTTCCTGAGCTTTCAAATATTGATCCGATACCAATGATGTACCATGAGGTAGTGGTAGAACAGTCTAAAACCTTCGTAATGAGTATACGTAGGCGCGCTTCCTCCTTCAGCATGAATCAGCGATTTTAATTCCACTAGACCATGTTTGATACATCATTTTCTACGAGTGGCGCCGCTGCACTGGAGTGACGGCAACATTAACAGCACGAGGGGAAAGGACACTTCTCTCGGCGCTTTGGTCCGTCGCTGATTCGCTCGTTTTAAGCAAGGAGACACGGGCTTCGAAGAAAAGCCTCAGTTGAAGAGCTTTCCCTCGCCGCCGATAACTCCGTCATTCTCGACACCGTCAAAGAGGAAATAACACTCGTCACGAGATTCGGGTGTACCCAATCGACAGTCGTCGGTGGTCTTCAGGCCCTCTGTTAAGAGAAGTACTAGCTCGATGAACAATGGGTATCCGGGTGTACCGTATGCTGTCGCTCAAGTCATAACTTGACCCATAGCATACGGTTCACCCAAGTACCCATTTGTCAGTCTCCCTTTCTCCGCCCATATCGCAAGAAGTTTCAGGAGGGCCCAGTTACCGGGGATAAAAGCTGGATCCTCTACGGCGCCAATAAGCACTACGCCGTCTATCTTCCGCGAGAAGGGCAGCCGCCGACGCAAGACGCCCNAGCTCAGGTAGTCCTTACATATTGAGTAGGAAACCCTGTTTNGAAAGCCTTTCGAAAAAACGGTCCAAAAAAACTTTTGTGCACCTCCTCCATGACAACGCTAAGTTCACAAAGATAAGGAGAATGCAAAGTTAGAGGAGCTAGGCTGGGATACGGTTCCACATCCACCCCATTCACTTGATATGGATCCTTCAGATTACCACTTGGTCCAGCCCTTAAAAGCTTTTTTAGCAAAGAAATAATTCGTCAACTATGCTCACCTCGAACAAGTGGTCGGTGACCTCTTTGACTCCCAATATTCCCACTTCTGGGAAAAGGGAGTGGATGACCTGCTCGTTAAGTGGTACAGTGTTATAACTAACGATGGTTATATTGTTGACTACCTTGCATTGTTCGCTGAGATGTAAAATAAGAGAGAAAAAATAACAGCTCTATGAAACTTTATGATCGTCCTGAAATTTTCTTGAGCGGACGCCAACAACGTGCTCCTTCGTCCCTTCGTGAGCCAGAGATTTCGGTGGATCGTCACTGCTCGATAGTCACGAGACATAACATCCCGTTCATCAATAGCTTTGAAGTATGTCCATCGTGCTGGTGGCGTCCTATTGTTCGCCTGAATCACTTCTGTTCTTGCGTGTACCGCGATTTTCCGCACGTCGTCCTCTACATTGACGCTAACTGCACGATCATCCAGCTTCCTGTCATAGATAGGTCCAAGTCTCCTAGGCGTATATCGAAGAAAAAAGGATGGCAATGTCGAAAAGATGTGGGTGGATGTTCATTGTGCTTTTTTCCACTCCCTCCACTCTTTTCCCTCGAAATTCTCGAATGATTCCTTATACTCACTTCTACGGCTAGGCCATTCATCATGTTGACTTTGCAAACTAAATTGTGTGTACGTAACTAGAACGTTTGGAAATTTCCGCTCCACTCAACGTAAAAAGAGCTTCAGGTACGAATCCGGTTTTCATAAGTATCGTCTTCGTTGAACTCAGTTTCGGATAGATCTTTCCAGAAGCACAGTCTAATTCGTACCACGTTCGTTCTGCCTGCTCGATTTTCGGTGTTATAAGCACGTTGTCTACAGAGTGGAGATGATGTTAATAGCGGCCGTCGATCTTCACTCCAAAAACTTCCCTTATATGACGCGTGGTGTTTTTGGGAGCGGCTCTGAAAAGTTTGGGCGAAGTGGTATGGCCCTGCAGACATCTCGCTTGACAACGACTTCCTTATAGAATGGCGAGATCCTGAGCGTGAAGTTGTCGTAAAGCTCAGGTAGTCCTTACATATTGAGTAGGAAACCCTGGTTGTCTAAAGTTCCGGTCATCCCTTCTGTGTCGACAGTATCAGAGGCTTCAAATCGATGAACGTGAGACATAACGGCATCTAGTTAGAATGTGGCTGTGACTGATTGAACTAGACTCTTTAAAAATCCCTGCTAGTCCCAGATTGTCCTTCATCTAGCAATCTGCCAATCGTGCCAGAAATGACTCACGTGAAATGTTTAGACTACAGAGAGCAGGCAAACACAACATGCACATATCCACCGGATCTCCCTTCATACATCTCGCTAGTTTCCTAGAACGTGGACCCTTTGCGTTTCATCAAATGCCGAGTGAACAGCCTAGCCACGGTTCTAACGATAACTGTTGGAAGGATTCGTTACGTGGTTGACAAACTTATGGGAAAGGGGTCCTGTTCAGTCCTCTATCGACGTAACAGAATGTCGAATTTAGGTAGGGACAAAAAGGTTGGTATGTCTGTCCTAACTAGAATGATAGGCGGCCAGATAGTCGTGGACGAGGAGGAAAATTATCTTGGTCTTGTAATCGGCGAAGGGCTTTGTAAATATGTTTCCCGTTTTCGACGGCTTCGAACAGAACTGCTGCTCCTCTCTCTTACACATCTTTCTTTAACGCTTTTCTATAGCTTGGAATTTTAGGCGTGGCCTAATGATTGCCTGTAGTTCATGCGTTTACTCAAAGAACAGAAGCAGTTCCATTACACGCTCGCCAATAACTATTTGCAGTCTGCACTTGGACGTCTGTCTGATCTTATTCCTCTTGAAGAGAGTATCGATCCACGCTATCCAGCCCAGCGTATAATAATTAGCAAGTGGGTATTACTGTTGCTATTTAAACAAATCATACTTATGTTTGGAAACAGAAGTTATCAATGCATTTCAGTTTTGTGCGAAGGGGTTGCCGAATAAAGCGTTGGTTGTACGAAGACACATATCCAATACATTCCCACAGACCAACAATTGGCGAGCTTGTAAGAAGTAGACCCAGGAAATCGTTAAGTTTTGAGCTCGATTGCCCTGAATTAACACATAGATAAAATAAAATAGAGCATATGTTCATATTCTGACTTCGAAATCGTTAAGCTTTGAGCTCGATTGCCCTGATTTAACACATAGATAAAATAAAACAGAGCATATGTTCATATTCTGACTTCGATTCTTTTTGTAAGTTTTGCTAAGATCTTTGAAAAATGTACCTTTACAGGATTTCGAGAAAATGTCTATGCGGGCAACAATGTATGTGTAGTCGTCGCAGCGAGAGAAGCGCTTCCAATAAAGTGAGTCAGCGATGTTTAATTTTTTCGTCGTGAAAAATTAGGTGAGCCTTTGATTTTTCAATTTTGCAGAAAAATTCTACGCGTCAAAACTGTGAAAACGAACGAATTCGAGGAGAATTGCAGCGCCTCGATGTTTTATTGAAGAACCTCGATGACTCGTCTACTAACTAAAGTTTACTAATGCAATTCCTCCTGGTTATGCTAATGATGTCCAAAAAATAAATTACTCAACGCATACTGGGTATCCCAGAATTATGGGCGCCTATTCATGGCAGTGTATTCAAAGCTTATCAGCTGTGAAGGACAATGTTTGATGCATGTTTGCTAGCATTATGAGCTACAAAATGCTGCAATCACATTCCAAAATATCTTCATATCCAGAATTGGCTCTCAAACTCCTCCAGTGTTGCAGGTGTCTTCCGTCACTCTTCCCATCCGTTCTTCAGTCTCGCTTTCTAGTACCCCAGACTGGGACTGCAAAATTGACGGGTCCTCTTCTAGTCAGCGACCATACGGTCGAGCCAAACGAGATAAAATAAAGGATAGCCATTCTCTTTTGCCAAGTCATGTAGCGTCAGTGTAAGCACCGCTAGCGTGTGAGCTTGCATCTGTGGGCTGGAGCGCCACCTCGCTGGGAATACTACGAGCTTTTCCAGAAAGTGTAGCAGGATCAGGGCTTCAGCTCGTCTATCAGGACGCCTTTTGTGTGCTGTCTTTGTCAATTTTCCCGCCGGTACCTCCAAAGCCGTTGGCGTCTTAACCTTGCCTATGACTACCTCAGAAAACATTATTTTGCCGTTTTCATAGCAACTTTTGGGAGCGATTACACGTTCGGTGTTCATAGTTAGAACGTGGTTAATTTATTTGCTGAGGGATGGTTTTTCCGTAAAAACTTCGTAGAATTTGCCGTTTCTTCTCAGTAAGGATGGCACGAAACCCAAACTCATTGATACCAGAACTGCTCCACTTTCTGTTGGAATCATCAAAAAACGGAAGGAAACGTATCTTGACTATATATTGGTATGAAGTAGTGGGCTGCGACAAAAGATCTGTATCATTTATCTTCGCGTTGATCGTCGTTCTTCTCGTGCGAGCGCCGGTAACATAACATTACATTCGTCCGTCCCTGCCACGAGCTACAGTGGTCCAGCGAATCGTCCTCGCTTCANGGAGGCGAGGCCCAGCATCACTTTTATTAAGAGCTTTTGTGAAGAAGTTTGACCACCTCATTGGTGGCGGCCCTGGAGTTTGTCCCAAGGGATCCAGTCAGTGACCGCCCTGGTCCAACGGTCGCCACTATGTCGCATAACGTGTTCGATTCTCCTGATCTTCAATTTCTCGGCGTAGTCAATGGTCTTCCTGATCTTCCTTCGATGACGGGGCTCAGAACTCCGGACTCTCCCTGTGTTTGCGTGTATAAGGAAAATCCGATCGTCGCCCTTTCTGAAGGGCAAGATCGTTCCACAAGTACTATCAAATATGGCCAGCACTCGTTCCGCCTGCTCGATAATCGTTGTTATAAGCACAACTTCGTCTGCAATGCGGAGATGATGTAAGCAGCATCCGTCGACCTTCACTCCCATACCTTCCGATTTCACATTCATCTATTTATTCATCTGTTGCACAGCGGACATAAAGCAAAAAAAGTAACTGCTAAGGTGGCGTCAAGTTAATTAATAGCATTGCATATATAGCACTTGTCACAATAAAAATAGGTAAACGCGTAAACGGGAGAGGGAGGAGGAGGGGAGGGATGGGAGTCGACGAATCGCCCGGTAGAGGAAGGGCAGTGCGACAGCCAAACACTGGAAGCGGTTAGGAGAAATGGCAGCTCTGGACACCAAATGGTCCGCAAACCTTTCCCAGGGCTAAGAAGGTGGGCTACAGTGTGAACCAAAGCTGACGTACTGCGCCAAAAATGAGGGTGTGAAGCGGAAACAAAAACGCAATCAGTCAAAGAATTTAGAGTCATCATAAGGAAGCATAAAGAAAGTAGAAAAATTCTACATTCAGAGACTTCTACACCGTCAGCCATCTATAAAACAGCATGCTGCTCTTTGAGATGTCGCGCAAGCTGTACTTGGAACAAATGCGAACGTATCCATCTGAAAAATCCATAACTAAGGCTGTTCCAAAGTGGCACATCTCGAACAGGAATGGTGCCTCCATAAGCTCGGCTATTAGGTTTTTTGGGCGCCTTGATAGGGACGAACTCTTGAAAGCCCTGTGGTAGGCGACATTCCGAAGGTATCGCTCAAGTCCAAATCGATTTCATCAGCGATAAGCTTATACACAGACTATAATCGATTAGTTTATGCTGAAATTCGAGTGTTACACCTCCAAGTTCGGAGTCTCTCATCGTACGCGAGGGAAGTAATTTCTTCACGAATGAAGCAAGGGCAAGTGAAACGTTTCTGGACTCTTTCAATTTAATCAACTAGTGATCGCTTGTAAGGCGACCAGATGGGGAACAATTCCTATGATTGGCTAACTTAGAGGTTGAATAGTCGGAAGAATAGCATTGAGTCATGCATTTTGAAAGCGCTAATATGTAACTTGCCCAGGAACTCGCTCTGGCAGCAACGTCTTGTGCAAGGCTTCCGAAATGGAGCTGATCACCGTAACCAACTATTAGATCGCAATTCTGTGTAACGCGAACAAGACTTCCCCCACAGCGCCGCCCAGAACAGTATGCAATCAGAATTTGTTGACGTGTACGATGCATGTATTCTGCTCAACTGAATAACAGCTATTTGTACTATTATTGTTGGCGGAAAGTCGCTCTAGTACTGGATCATGTGTTCCTATTTGACCTCATAAGTCATTTTGTTGTTGGTCCCGCTTTTTTCTTCTTGTTTCTTCTTTTTCTTTTCCTTTTCCTTTTTTTTCATTAATTGAAGACTTCATTACACCTAATCTTCAACATGATCCTAACCTCACTCTTTCTTGATAACGAATAAGAGGACCATACCTCTATAAAAATAGGGGACTGCGCTGACGCGGTTTACAAAATTCGAATATGGCCCGAGGGGTCAATTTTTGACGCCTCCAGCGCAAGCCGTTCCTATGGAACACGCAGGGATAGTCAACCCCTGGCAGCAGCCCTGCCAAACCTGGGACNTAACGAATAAGAGGACCATACCTCTATAAAAATAGGGGATTGCGCTGACGCGGTTTACGAAATTCGAATATGGCCCGAGGGGTCAATTTTTGACGCCTCCAGCGCAAGCCGTTCCTATGGAACACGCAGGGATAGTCAACCCCTGGCAGCAGCCCTGCCAAACCTGGGACGACCCCTTCCTGAATAAGAGTTGGCCTCCCTTGTACTTGGGTATGTGGTCAAAAAGCAATCAAATAAATCAAGAAAATCGTTACATGCATACAAGGTTGCAAAAAGTAAGGAGTGCGACCAATAATGGCTTTACTATCAAAGATTTTGGTTAGGACAATGTAGGATGCAAATTTGGTAGAAATTGTGAAGCGTGACTAATTACTAACATCAATAACTATAATATATTGCGTTTAATATTACAGGCTTACATACAAAAATGTACAAACATACAGATACACATTGCAATTCCAAAAACGTAGTCTATTGTTCGACATATAACAAATGCTAAATGCAATATGTAGGCATCACAAATAGAAGCTTAAAGAGAGAATAAATGAACGCTTATATAATACGTATCCAGGCAAGGCAAATGCCATTTTATATAATCATTTATGAGCATCTACGAATCTACATCATTGTGAGTTCTCTTTCACTGAGGGATCCCCAGCCGGTCAGGACGAGGCTACGTAGGGCGTTCCCAGGTGGCAGATAGAGAAGCTAGTCGCCGACCAAAAGTAAGGGATGCCTGCCCAGAGACGCAGGAGGGTTCAGTTGATGGCTCCTTGACTCTGCTGTGCTGATCGATATTCGAACCTTCTGTTTCTCGCAGGCGTATCCACGCGTACATGCGTGGAGAACCTGTGGGTCAAGTTGGTATCCTGCCCATCGACTCAGCCAGAAGCTTGCACTCGTGTGAAGCGATTCGGGGCCGCCTCGAAAAAAAACCCCCTCGTCCACTTCGAAATAGCTTGGCTAGCTCCTGAAGTCGACCTAGCCCCCACTTCAGAGCCTGTAGAGCTGCACGTTGGGTATCTCCTCGCCAAAAGCAGTAATAGAAATGGGCTTCATTTCCCTGAATTTGAGGGAGCCACCCTCACGGCAGCGTTAGGTAGGACTGTATGGGAGAGGCTGCTACAATCTCAGGTTCAAAACAGGCTGCCCAAAAGGAGAAGGACTAAGACCGCGATCTGTACTTTCAACGCACTCGACGCGCCGACATTTGCATCGGAAGCGTATATAGAGGACCTGGTGATGCAGGCTAGAAGGATCAAGTACGAACGTCACCGGATTGACCGAGACGAGAAGACATCGCCCGCTGCACGCTGTATTTGTGATTGGAGAAGAACTGTTTCTTGGAACATGCGACAGCGGGGGCGTCGGCGGTGCAGGTGTTCTCGTCAATACGCACGTGGCCATAGACACCGATTCGTACAAAAGCTTGACAACCCAAACTGGACGTTTGCGATTAAGAAAATGTGGATCAATCTCAGCTCCAACCATTTTCGTTGCCTACGCACCAAGATCAAGCTACGAAGAAGTGGGCTTCGAAACGTTC